ATCTTTAAGGAATTGGGTCCACAGGGAGCCTTTGTCCCTAGTTCCATTTGTGCTGTATAGCTCTGAAGGGTTTTGGCACATTCTGTGCACTTCTCACTGACTAAAAGCACCATCCCTGCTCTGAGAAGTGGCTCTGTAGGGAGCAAAAGTGCCCTTGAGAGCCTCACTATGAAATGGCACTGAGGTGGAAACAGGGTTTAAAAAAAGATCAGTTTCCCTAGAGGCCGCACACTTAAGCTCTTCAGTAAGAACTGGTAGACCACCTCCTGGTAGGAAGGAAGGGGCACTCCGAGCTCCCTCTGGGACTGTCTCCAGGACTCTGAACCTGGCCTGTTTCCGAAGCACAGAATTGCCTGGCACTCCAAGAGCAGGGTGTTCAGAGCGGGGCATGTCAGCCCGGGGAGGAGAGTGGGTAAGGCAGGGAGGCAAAGCTTGCCCCTTCTCCATCATGGGTTCTCATACCACCCACCCACCGCAAGGCCTGATTGGACTGGCTCTTCTGTGGTCTACTTACCATGGAGTGGCCCAGAAGGAAGACAGGAAGCCCCGGGTAGTCTTTCTGCACAGTATCCACGTGCTGTAACACATCCCTGATGAAAACGTGGAAGTCGGACACTACCATCCTCTCCCCTTCGCTCTGTCCATGGCCAACTGGAAGGGAATGGGAGACGAGAGAACTGCAGTTTCCAGGAGGCTGACTCCTGCCCAGGCTCAGTTGTTTCCTCATCAGAATTACCAGCCATTCTTTACTGAGGACCTGAACGAATCATCTCATTGAATCTTTTCCAACCGCTCTTGAACATGGGAATTAGTCTGCCTCCATTGCACAGATTAGGAAGTTGAGACACAGGGTGGTTCAAGAACTTGCCCAAGATCACATAGTCAGGCAGTGATAAACCGTTCTGTAAAGCTGTCCACACAGCCAGAATGCCTTCCCCATGGCTGTTGCCAAGGAAGAAAGAAAGGCAGGTACAAAGAGAAACCAAGCCTGATTTTCTGCAAAGTGGCCAGGGGTAAGACCAATGAGGCACAAAATTTTACTGGGTTTTCGCAGTTCCTTGACCCTCACAGTTGTGTTTCAATGTTAGCCTTTCACCAGGTAAAATGTCACCTCATTTTATAGAAGATAATATGAGAAACATAAAATAAAATAGTCACGTGTGCTTGCCAGAAATCTTCTCAATGAAGCAGCAATAAAACCAGGTAAGAGTCTATCC